TAAGGAATGAACAGATGGGTGGGTGTCACCAGTAGTGTAAAATAATTGTTCCATTCTGGCCTTGCATTTGGTTGTAGGCATTTACAATTTTATGTGGTGTTCCAGGTGTGTCTGACACAAAAGAAAATATTGAAAATTTAGAAATTATCATTTTCTCAAAGAACAAAGCAAAACAACTCAAGTCAACCTGAGTGAAACAAATTTGTAGTTTAACTTTGATCTAACAGATATTTTCAGCATGATTTGGGGATATATATATCCATTTTTATTTTATTTATTTTATTTTATTTTATATATATCTATTTTTAAACATTGTCATAGCATATACTTTGCTGAGTGAAAAAATACGTGAAAGAATTGGTCATGAGTAGTCAATGATAACTCTTGTCAATATTTAAAGTAAGAATCTGGTGTCCTTTCCTCTTCCATACCTAATTTTTTTTAAAGACAACTTTTTTAGAGTAGTTTTAGGTTCACAGCACAATTGAGAGAAATGTAGAGAGATTTCATATATTCCCTGGGCTCACATAGGCATAGCCTCCCTCGTTATCGACATCTATCAGCAGAGTTAAGACATTTGTTACGATTGATGACCCTCCATTAATGCATTGTAATCACCCAAAGTCCATAGTTTTCATTAGGGTTCACTCTTGGTGTTGAATGGGTTTGGACGAATGTATAATGACATGCATCCCTCATTACAGTATAGTATCATGCAGAGTATTTTCACTGCCTGAAAAATTCTGTGTTCTACCTGTTTATCCTTCCTCCCCATGCACCCCCATGCCCAACCCCTGGCAATCACTGGTCTTTCTACCGTCTCCAGAGTTTTGCCTTTTCCAGAATTTCGTGTAGTTTTCAACTACTATGGGTAAATACCAAGGCATGTGATTGCTGAATTACATGGTAATAATAAGTTTAGTTTTATAAGGAATCACCAAACTGTCTTCCAAAGCAGCTGTCCCATTTTGCATTCCCACCAGCAATGAGTGAGCGTTCCTCTTGCTCCACATCCTGGAACACTTGATGTTGGCAGTGTTCCAGATTTTGGCCATCCTAATAGGTGTGTAGTAGTATCTCGTTGTTTTAATTTGCATTTCCCTGATGACATATGATGTAGAGCATCTTTTCATATGCTTATTTGCCACCTGTATATCTTCTTTGGTGAGATGTCTATTAAGGTCTTCAGCTCATTTTTTGATTAGGTTGTTTATTTTCTTACTGTGGAGTTTTAAGAGTTCTTGTATATTTTGAATAACAGTCCTTTATCAGATGTGCCTTTTGCAAAGATTTCCTCTCAGTCTCTGGCTTGTCTTCTCATTCTCTTGACATTATCTTTTGCAGAGTAGAACTTGTTGATTTTTAAAAAATTGATTTATATTGGAATATAGTTGATTTACAATGTTGTGTTAGTTTCTGCTGTACAGCAAAGTGAATCAGTTATACATATACATATAGCCACTCTTTTTTAGATTCTTTTCCCATATAGGCCATTATAGAGTGTTGAGTAGTTTCCTGTGACATACAGTAGGTTCTTATTATCTATTTTATATATAGTAGCGTGTATATGTCAATTCCAATCTCCCAATTTATCCTTCCCCCCTCCTTGGTAACCAATAGAACTTTTTTTTTTTTTTTTTTTTTTTTTTTTTGCGGTACGCAGGCCTCTCACTGTTGTGGCCTCTCCCATTGCGGAGCACAGGATCCGGACGCGCAGGCTCAGCGGCCATGGGTCACGGGCCCAGCCACTCCACCGCATGTGGGATCTTCCCCGACCGGGGCACGAACCCATGTCCCCTGCATCGGCAGGCGGACTCTCAACCACTGCGCCACCAGGGAAGCCCAATAGAACTTTTTAATTTTAATGAAGTCCAGCTTATCAATGATTTCTTTCATGGTCTGTGCCTTTGCTGTTGTATCTAAAAAGTCATTGCCACCCACAGACATCTAGATTTTCTCCTCTGTTATTTTCCGTACCTGATTTTCTGAAGTAACGTTTTTTCATTGAAGTATAATGTACATTGATAAAAGTTTGTAAATCCCATAATGAATTTTTACAAAGAGGATGCTCTTATGCAACCTCTACAAAGATCAAGAAATAGGACATTACCAGCACTGCACAAGCTTCTCTTTTGTTTTACCCCACCCTTCCCCTCCACCACCCGGAAAAGATAACTACTATTCTGACTTCTGTTATGATAGATTAGCTTTATTTATTCTGGAACTCACCACTATAGAATTATATAATACATACTCTTTTATATTGTCTTCTTTTGCTTTTCTTTGTTGAGAGGTTTTTAATAATAGATTTATTATTTTCTTAAATAGAGATTATTTCTTCTTATGTAAATTTTGCTAAGTTGTATTTTTCATGTGGAATTTCTTCTAAAATGATACATTTTTTGATCTGTAGATTTTTTTATACCCTTCAGTTCTATTTGTAGTGTCTGCAGGATCTCTACTGGCATTCTGTTTTCATTTCTGATTTATATAATTTGATTTGATCCTTTTCTTTCTCTCTCTTTTTTAAAGTCTTGCTGGCATTTATTAATTTTATTGGGTTTTTTTGGAAGAACAAGCTTTGTTAAATTTACTTATTTTATGACTGCTTTCTGTTTAATGATGTCTTCTCTCTGTTATTTCTTTCCTTCTGTTTATAGGGATGGAGTGAGGATTAATATGCTGTTTTGTTTTTTTTTTACACATCTTGAGATGGATACTTTGATAATTAGTTTCCAGCTTTTCTTCTTTATTCGTATATGTATTTAGGAGTATAGACTTCACTCTAAGGAGGGCTTGAGTTGTGTTCCCAAAATTTGATGTCATAATTTTTAAAATTTAAATAAAAAATTTAAAAAGATTTCCATTGTGATTTTCTTTTTTTTGGACTCATTTGTTATGTAGGAATATATTGCTTAAGTTCTAATCATTGGGGGATTTTTCTAACTATAATTTCTTTTGTAATTCCTATCTTAATTCCATAGTAATAGCAGTTAGAGAACATACTAATAGTTTGAAAATATACTCTGTATGATTTCACAGAAGTTAAGGAATATACTGTTTGTTGAGACTTGCTTTATGACTCAGTAGATGGTCACTTTTGGTAAATTTTCCTTGTGTACTTTGAAGAAATATATTGTGTAGTTATTAGGTACAGTGTTTTAAATATATCAAATAGATTTTTTTCATTATGCTCTTGATATCTTGTATATTTTATAGCTTTTTTTGTCCATTTATCAGCTACTGACAGAGATGTGTTTAAATATCTCCCACTATTGAGTGTGTGTGTGTGTGTGTGTGCGCGCGCGCGCGGGTGTGTATACACACACATATATATGTATAATAATACGTGTATTTTCTTTTTTTTGCCATTAGATTTACTTTATATATTTTGAGACTATGATATTCAGATTGTGCAGATTTAAAACTATTATATCTTCTTCATTAAAGAAATATCTCATTTATCTCTAGTATTACTTCTTAAAATCTAACTTGTTTTATATTATTACAGATAAACTAGCTTTCTTTTGGTTAGATTTGCAGCATATATCTTTTTCTATGCTTTTAGGTTCACTATGGAATACATGCATTTCTAAGTGTGTCTCTCGAAACCATCTGATATTATTGTTTAGCTAATCCATCTTTGACTTTTAGTCTGAATACTTAGTACATTTATATTTAATGTAATTATTGATTTATTTGTGTGACAATCCACTATATATCTGTTTTCTCTTTATCACTTTTTTTTGTTGTTCCCTTTTCCTCTCTTTTTTTTGACTTTTGGATTAATCAAGTTTTCAAAATTTCTCCATCTTTTTCCTCTCTCCCCTCCCACCCCAATACATTTTACAATGTATTGACTAAATATCAGTCCTGTTCCCTCTCTGCAATTAATATTATGGATTAACATTTTCAAATCTCTAGAAATATTTTTAATTAAAAAACCTGTTTAACATTATTTAATCCAGTGATTGTCAAACTTATTTTGGAAATGCTGTGGGAGATAGGTAGGGTCTCCCAGTACCCTACCATCCTTTGGGAAATGCCCATCTAGAAGCTTCATCAAGCTGAATGACGTTTAGGTTATTTCTACAGTAGTACGTATTAATTGATAAAATTTATATGTAATTTGGGGTTATGTGATAGGGCAGCAGCCAGCATGGCTGTACCTTATTGGTGCCTGGAAGTTTGAGAATCAGTCTGTGGGACCATACAGTTAATACTGTTTTAGAATTCTTCCCCAAACATGCCCCCTGGGAAGGTGATAACTCAGATACAGCAGGAGGTTGGTTGAAGGACCTGTTGGAAGAGCATACATTCATCTATTACTTATTTCCTCCCAGAAAAGAGTCTACATTCATTACAGTCCTTGCGTGAGTGAGCTGGTTTTCACAGTATCCCACTCTGGCCATTAAATTTAGAGACCACCGGATTTTTATTACTGTAAATTCCTTGGGATTAATTTTATGTTACCAAACGTAGGTTAAAGGTAGCTTAAAACATGCTCTGTTGCTTTGTCTGAGGTTGTTAGCCATAAGCCAATTAAATATTGGAAGTCATCTGCTTAAAGTGAAGCCATTATCTGAATAGTTAATATCACATTGTTTTTCTTGACAATAATTAAATAGCATGCATCCGTTCACCCAGAAGAGTGATCAGCTCATTAAGACACAGGTTAAAAAGAAAAGAGTCGAAATTATATCACTCTTCCCAAGACTATTTGCATTTGAAATAGCACTATGAGGAGAGGATAATACTTGGTCCAAAGAAGAACATGTCTAATGGTAAAGTTTCGATAATTGTGCTTTTCTCTTACCCTATAGGTAGGACTGAAAGTAGAGGAGGCATGATGGTAGATGATTAGAAAACAGTGTCTAACATTAGAAAGAAAAAAGGATCACTTTAATTGGAATCAAAGTTAATTTTCAGGCATTGTAAAACAAATGCAATCCTAACAACTGAAAAATTCTAACAATCCCCCCTTTCCCTTTCTTTCTCAGGTGTGTCGTCTTTAAGTATTCAGTTTGCCAAACTCCCAAAGGGATTAAAGCATTTAAATTTATCTAAAACCTCATTGTCACCTAAAGGTACAGTATATCTCATTTACTTAAGTGTGTCTATAATATTTCTGCTGCCCCATGGTACCTTACATAGTTAGAATTAATACTCGTTGTGTATCTGCATTTAAAAATGTAGTTGACCCTTGAACAATGTGCTTTGAACTTCCCAGGTCCACTTACATGCATGTAGTTTTCAACAGTAAATACTACAGTAGTACACGGTCCACAGTTGGTTAAATCTGTGCAAGTGGAGGAACCGTGGATACAGAGAGCTGACGATTAGTTACACACAGATTAATCCCCACGTTGTTCAGGGGTCATCTGTATGTGTATTATAATACTCTGGCAGTTTTAAGATAAAGAAGTTATCTGATTGGACTTCTGGTGTTCTAAAGTGAAATGCTTTCAGAGTAGAGAATAATTTTCAAGTATACCTGTGGTCTCCAACTTTTTAAACTTTGAGTCAGGGAACGCTCACCTAGCTGCCTCCTGCCTCACATTCCTAGAGGTAGCTGGTTGTGTTTTGCTGTTGTTTTTGTTTTTGATTTAGCAATGTTTTGTTTGTTTTTATTGAAGTATAATTGACCTACAACACTCTGTTAGGTCCAAGTGCATGAGATAGAGATTCGATATTTCTGTACATGACAAAATGGTCGCTACTGGTTGTGTTTTTCTTGGTTCATCCTTGGAAAGACATCAGCTGTCCCCACTTCCCCGTTCCCCTTTCCCCCTTCCCCTCCAGATGGACTGTCTGCTGCACAGAAAACAGTTGGGCCTAACTGCCCAGTCCCAGTCACTACTGTAGCTCTACCTGCTCTATTTCCTGTCCTGGAAATTGCCTTTCCTTCCCCACGTTCTTTTCTGACTCCACTCACCATCCTCTCAGTTTTTCAGTTTTGTTCTTATTTTGCTACATCAGCACCGTCAAAATAATAATTAAAATCTCCCTGCATACACTGTGCCTTTGTATACGCTTCGTATTCTGCTTGAAAAGCTTGTCTTTCATCTTTTATAGGGAAAACCTCCATTCTTGCCTGCCTTCTGTGATTCTCTTTCCTGTGCATCTCCTTTACTACTCACACAAAACATCTCACTTCTGACGCCTCTGGTCACCAGACGTGTGGAAGTTTTTCCCTCACAACAGGCAATTCTCTGTGACACTACCTGGGTGTCCTACAATTCAGCTCAGTATCTACCTGGAGATGGCATGAGATCGTACAGGTTAAGGGCTCAGTCCCACAAGACTGCCATGCCCCCCCGACCGCCTTTAGATACCAGTTCACACGGCCCAGGTTATCAGAGGTTCCAAAGATCCCCCTCCTTGAGTTTGATTAATTTGCTAGAGTGGTCCACAGAACTCAGGGAAACACTTATTTACGTTTACTAGTTTATTAAATGGTATGATAAAGGATACAGATGAACAGCCAGATGAAGAGATATTTAGGGCGAGGTTGGCGGGGGTGGTCCTGAGCCCAGGAGCTTCTGTTTCTGTGGAGTCGGGGTACGTCACTCTCCTGGTGTGGATGGGTCCATCAGCCTGGAAGCTCTCCAGAAGCCACACCGTTGGGATGTTCATGGAGGCTGCATCACGTAGGCGTGGTCAGTTATTAACTGCATTTCCAGGCCCTCTCCCTTTTCTGCAGAAGTGTTGATGGGTGGGGGTGGGGCTTCTCAGCATGGCTTGGTCTTCCTGGTGACCAGCCCCCATCCAGGAGCCCACCAGGGTTACCTCATTAGAGCAAAACGTGCTGCTAATGCTCGTACCACTTAAGAATTTACAGGAGTTTAAGGAGACCTGGGTCAGTGTCAGGGTCAAAGACAAATATTAGAACAAGGGATGTTTCTAGTGCTCTTATCACCTAGGAAATTACAAGGGTTTGAGGAGCTCTGTGCCAGGAGCGGGCATGGGAGGCAGAGACCCATATATATTTTCTCTTACACACCTCCAAATGTTCTTGGAGAGCTTCAGTTTATTTTATAAAACCCTCGTCTGTGATCATCTCTTCTGCGACGTCTTATTCCTGAGGCCTCAACAGAATCAATTTCTCTTTCCTTTCTAGATCATATCTAACATTATTGTATAAATGTGGTGTCTTCCCTACTTGAAGGGGGCTCTCCTTGCAGCCTCTGTATCTCTCATCTCCATATCTCCAGCACCTGGCATAGTGCCTGGACCATTGTGGGTGTTCAGTGAAAGTTTCTTGAATTGAATAATTTCCCATTCCTTAACTATATCCCTGTCTTTTGAGGGCAGTATGTGTAGCAATTGCCGGTTCTCTTACAGATTGCCTAGGTTTGAATCCTAACTTTTTTGCTTACTATAAATTTGCTTTTACAATCTCTTGATTGTACCTACCTCATTTGTAATATGGAAATACGAGCATCTGCTTCATCAGAGGTGGTGGGATTAAATGGGTTAATATGCATACAGTGCAGTTTTCTGGCACAAAGGCCGTGCTGTCCCTGCCGCCATCATCTTCTTCCTCTTTCTTCTCCCCTCTCCTCCCT